GAACTATGTTTACAACATCACATTTTAATGATTCCTGAAATATTACAAATTTTCACATGATGTAAACCTATTGGAGATAAATAGCAGGCTGACATATAGAGCAGAATTAAGATTATTTGAATAAATTTGCCTAGACTTTCTTTTTCCTTTTTTGGGGGCTGGGGGTGTGAGGGGTAGGGGAAGAATGGGTAATGCAAGCAAATGGGATTCTGGCTACAAATCTGAAAACCTTAAAAACAAAACAAAACAAAACAAAACAAAACAAAACAAAACAAAACAAAACAAAACAACCACCACCTCAGCCTGCATTGTTGCAGTGGTCATTGGGTTTACAATATAAAATGTTAAGTTAGTCTTGTTTCAGCACCTTTAGCATTCTTGTGCTCTTTGCAAGATCCGTGGCCTTTCACAAGATTTGGTCACTGAACATTCAACTCATCAATTATGAGTAGCACTTTTACTGGCATTTATCAGCATTCAAAAATTTCCCATTTTCTACTAAACAAAACGCCCCAAATTCTGCAGTTCTTTGAGGCCTAACCAAATGCCAGATGTTTTGAGTTCTTGGTATCTTTGATATCGTAAGCCAAGTGAAAATGAACAATACAGAAAAAGTGTCCCTGAGCAAACAGGTAACTGAGGGTTTGGGGTTTTTTTCCCCTTTTCTGTCCAAAAAAGATTCTGCAAAGTACATACAAACAAAAACTGACTCTCATCAAAGTCTATGGAGTGTGATGTTTCAGATAGAAATTTCTTGGCACCACAAAGCCTATGGATAGATCATCCTCTCATAAAATACCCAGTTGCTAAAAACTTTTGTTACATTAACCCATTCTGCTCCCCTCCCCCAATCTCCACTGCACTAATTTTGACTGAGCAATAAATGTACAGGAACATTGCTTTTTATAGGCCAGCCCACTTGGTCCATATTGTAGGCACAAACATGAAAACCAACAGTTTTGCTAAATCCCATAACTTTAAAATAGCCTGTCTAATTTAGTTAGTATTTCTCAATCATGATAAACCAAAGGCTTAAACTTAAGTCTAAAAAAAAATATCTTTGCAATCTCTCTCTGCAATCCTCAAGCATTTACCCACACTTTAGCAACATCTATCTCACATTTGTAGCCCAGCACGACCATCTCACCCAGGAACTGCCCAAGAATTCAATTATCCAATGGAAACCTACTAGAGGATATACTTCACATACCAGAAGTCACACCTTTTCTCCATCATCATCACACAGCTCTGTAAGGTAGGGCACACCCAGCACACTCCTCCATTAAGGACAACACAGAATCACAGACTGGTTGAGGTCGGAAGGGACCTCTGGAGGTCATCTTGTCCAACCCCATTGCTCAAGCAGGGTCAACTAAAGCAGGTTGTCTGGGACCATTTCCAGATGGCTTTTGAATATCTCCAGGGATGGAGACTCTACAATCTCCCTGGGCAATCTGTGCCAGTGCTCAGAATCCTCACAGGGAAAGAAAAAAAAAATTAAAAACTATATCCTTATGCTTAGACAGAACCTCTTGTGTTAGTTTGTGCCCATTGCCTCTTTTCTTCTCACTAGGCACCACTGAAAAGAGCCTGGCTCTGTCTTCTTTACACCCCCTCCCCTTCAGATATTTACATACATTAATGAGATACCCCCAAGACTTCTCTGGGCTAAATGGTCCCAGCTCTCTCAACCTTTCCTCATATGAGAGGTGCACCAGTCCCTTAGTTATCTTAGAGGCCTTTCACTGGACTCTCTCCAGTAGCTCCATATCTCTCTTGTACTGGGATTCTCAGAGTATCACAAAGTTAGAAGACTGAAATCAGGCTTATATTGAAATGCCTTCATGTCTTAATACTATAGGTCTGATCACAACCCTGTGAATTTAATACCATGTGATGAAAACTGCTTTAACCATAAGGATATTGCACCAATCTCCATATAACTAGTGGCTAGAAAGCAGAGCCTAATAGCTACCTAAAATACACTCCCAAGACACACAGGAAATAGCTATATAGTTCAAAAGATGAAGAGCCCATTCAGCTGTAAAACGTCCTTGCTCAGCTTCTGCACCCTATAAAGGAATTCGAAAAGGATGAGGAACACCACACAACTTTTTGGAACCAACAGCCTCAGGTTTCATGAATGAACATCGTAAACTTTGATTTTGCAGACCGATTGTGCAAAGATGTTTGACTTTGAGAAGGCAGCTTTTGCAGAACAAGAAAGAAATTAAAAGCCACTAAATGAGGCGTCAAGGAAGAAAGACCCATCAGGCTGGGACAAGCCCAGGGGGAGATGGAAGAAATAACAGACCAAAATATAAAAGACATTCCTTTGGAGAAGAAAGGATCCAAAGAACAAAAATGTGTTCATTTCCCTTAGAGAGACTGCTCAAAGACCAGAGAGTACAAACATTTCCTTTATTTCTTAATGTACCTTCTTTCTCCGATATTTAACTTCCACTTGCCATATTTGTCAAATTTGCTGTTATTCTCCAAATGCCTCTGACAGCATCAAATGTTTGAGCTGCTGCCCTGCCCTTTTCTTTGCCTTACAAATTTCAACTGAATATCTTAATTCCCATGTGCCTGCTTGCCTCCTTTTTAATTTCTGGTGTTGGATTTTGTTGCTATTCTTTTAATTAATTGTGACTTCAAACAGTCCTCAACATGCCACACTCTTAGCAGAATTCCTTTCATTACATTGAACCAAGCTAACTATAATCCCAAAAATACATAGCATGAGTATTGTTATATTGGGCCACACTAAGAGCCCAGCAGCCTCTCTCCAACAGGATACAGAGGATGCACAGGCCAATAGTACAAAAACATGTCATATGTGGACCAATCATCCCCCTGAGACACCATCCCATTTTATGATAACAAATCTATATTTTCCTCTGTTTTCAATATCTTGAGCGGGATGTTGACTATGTGACAAATTACCCTGAGCGAATGGAAATTGCTGTCACCAAGGCAGAAGTAAAATGCAGCATCCTCCAGCATCCTCAAATCCCCACTGCCTGATTTCCATCACAGATTTCTAAAAGAACCAACATATAAAAGTGTAGGATTGAGAAGGATTTGGTTTGTTTTTGGGGTTTTTTTTGGTGTTTTTTAAGATAAACCTGTCAAGTCTGGAGTAGAATGATCAGATTGGAGAAAAGCAACTGCAGTGTCAGTAATTTAGAATCCTGAAAAGGATTCTACACTGAAAAGGAAGGAAAATTCTCATAGATTTATCAAACACAACTATTTGCTAGACTGGTCTTCAATTGTCTTCAATGAAAACACAAACTGAAATTCATCTCATCTATTCTGATTTCAGTAAAACAGTCAATACAGTACTACACTGAAAAGTTTAACAATGGCATGAGAAGTTGGGCTATTCTAACAACAATTGAGGAAGACAATGATATGGTATCATTCACTGCAGGAACAACTTGACACCTGTCACAGAAATGGATGACATCTAATAACCCAAAGTGCAGACTCCCATAAGGTACTACTTATATCAACTAGTTTCAGTCATTTAAAAGTTGCGCATCCAGTCTCAGCACTATGTCTAAACTCTTATGTTTAAGATGAACAGGATGAGTTGCTCTTAGCAGGTGGCTATGACTTTTTAATATCTAAGGTTCAAACATCAAGCATTTAGATGGATAAAGTTAGGCAGAAGAACCACCATCCTGGGAACCAACCTTCCCCCATCCACCTCTATCCCAAAGAAGTTCTGCAATAATACTTACGTGACTGAACAACCAACATATTACAACCATGGAGAAGGTAACTGCCATCCCAAGATGTATCAGGTGATGTATTCCCTATCCCCTGGACAGAGAAGTATTCCTATCACTGTGTAGAAGACCCTTTGTCTGAAATATTATATATAGTTCTGGTCACATATTTGCAATAAATATATATCCACAAAGGAAGAACACATGCAGAGAATGGATATTAGCATGATCAGACAAGTGCAGAGGTGACCTTAGAAAAGACTGGAAGAGGTTGACTTGTTTAGCTTAGTCAAACAAGGCCTAAGATGTGGTTGTTCTCTAAACTATGAAGAAAGCAAGCCCTAAAGAGGGAAAAGAACTACTTATACTAAGAGGATGTTGCTAGCACAAGAACAAATGCCTACAAATTCACAGCAAGTAACTGTTGACAGGATGTCAAAAAAGGGTTTCAAAGCCTTAGAAGAATAACTTTCCAATAGGAATAATGGGCACAACCTAGTGAATTTTGCAATTAAAATTAGTATTTTTACAATTAAAATTTAAATCTCCAAACTTGAAGATGTACGATCAAATGGTGGCTGATATAGGAAAGGACTGGACTTGATCTAAATTGTATTTTCTTGTTCTATGCTTTCATATAAGAATTATTACTCACATCTACCCTCTCTCAGCCCAGGTCACCATGTAATCTCATCCTTCCCTGCCCATCATTGCCTTTGCCTTATATATCTCCAAATGCAGTAACATTACTCTACACATCCCCTCAAGCCCTTTGTCTCAAGCTGCTCCTTCTGTCACTCTCCCTTCCACTGCCTCTAAAAATTATACTCCAAGGGGGACATCAGACAAGCAAAGTTTCAGCCCAGGCATTTGTAGCCTTTCCTTGGCACAACTGGAACATTGGAGCTGCATCCTTCTTTGCAAAAAGCAATTGGAGTGGTCAGAAAGAAGGAAATCTACAGCAGTTTCCCTTACTGAATTTTCTTTCATCACTCTTTCTAGGATTTTCTTGGCCTGACCCCAAGATTAATTTCTGTAGCCAAGAAATCTGCCTACACAACTGAATTCCTATAATGTGGGCATAAGACTGCTGGTTCTAGGCAGGTTATTATCAGCACAGACAGAAATAAAATGGGAAGGTGCTTCACCCTTATATTTGGCTATGTTATGGGGCATGTTCCCCTCAGAATGAGATGAGATGCTTGCTCACATGGCTGGTCTTTACTTGTGCGCGTAAGCCACAGATGCTTAGCCTGCAGCAGTTCAGCCTAGATTGCGTGCCATTGTGTCAATGTAAGTGTATCCATTCTTGCCGCTGGAAATGCGTAAAATGATTCCACTCCTACTACAGTTTAGCAAGAAATAGTCTCCATTGCTAGGTTTGTGTCTATTTTTGGATGTAACCTAAATATTGAATGTCAAATCACAGAGAGGTCACTACACTCTGAATGTAGAAATATCTTACAGGCTTTTTGTGTAGCACAATGGACAACACAAGCAACAAAAGAACTGTAACAATCCATGGTCATATCACAATCCCAGAAACACTCAGTGAACTACTGCTTACTTTAGTAATCCCACTAGCGCCTTTGTCTCTAATACAGCACAGTAGCATAGCAGTGTAACATACTTTTCACTTAGCTGTCACTTACGCTACATTGCAGAAAGACTCAGCAAAATACTGGGAGATACAATTACAGTTTACTATACTGCTATTATGGCCACACATAGTTCTATTTTTAGCTCTAACCTAAATAGAAGATGTAAAAGCACAAAAGGGTGCATCTGCATATGTAAAAATCATTCAAGCCTATCAAGCAGATCAAGACCAAGAATAAAGAAGTTAACCTAAATTATAAAAATACATTTAACTTCTGGAATTTCAATTAACTTCTCATATACATAGACATTTTTTATATCTTCCACATGCTAAAAACTGTATCCCCCCCTCAATTAAAAAAAATAAAATAATCAAGGATATTTAAGTTCTGCTAAAATTACAATTTTGGAGTTGTTTCCAGCTCCTTGAATTGTAAGTATGGAGTTGCTCCCACTGCCTTTTAAATATCTGATGCTTTCTTTTTGTTACATTTATATTCTTAGGGAGCAATACAACAATCCTTCATCAGAAGTTCAAAGGGTCATGTATGTTTATATTTTTCGCCTCCAAATGGGTCAGTCTGAAAGCACTTAAAGACAAAATCTAGTCAATGCCTAAACTTAAATTTTATTTTTTACTGAAATTTCTACTGGTAAACACTGAAAAATTATAATCCTCTCATTTTAATAGAAGTGAAAATATTCCTCACTAATAAAATGACTGTGATCTTTCTGCATAGAAATCATATTTAAGTCCAGAGGGATTTGGACTAAGGAATAGTTTTCAAGAATGAGTGACAATTCTTTTTCCCATCTCAGATGGCTGGAAACTATTTTCCAAGCATCTCTTTAATATAATTATACTTTGTTTAAATCTGCCCGCAGCTTCTGCCCGCTCCTGATTATTTGAATATGAATACCATTTTAATAACTTGCAAATTTTGCAAGAAATATGTAAATTGTATATATACACATATATGCATGTATATATATGCAGTTGTTTCTCCAGTATACTAGCCACTGGAATCATCAGCACCAAATTAGTAACAACTGACATCCTTTTGTTTCTAAGGTTAGATAAGTTTTCACAGTCTCTGCCTCCGCTCCCATACTCGGCTTAGTTAATGCATAGCCTTTGGGCTTTCCACGTAGGTCCGATCTATGGTTACCCATTTCTGCGTATTAGGTGCTAAGAAAATAAAATTGCCAAAGGTGATATCTCATATTTATTTTGCCCACTATCAAAAGCTCCTGAAAAGGTGTCTCATATTTCAAATTTAAAAATTCACCTGAATGACTGAAATACAGTGAGATGTAATGAGACATATTTTGGTTGTTCTCATGACAGAGATCAGGGATACTTTTGCATTTTTACTATTATTCAGTCCATTAATGTGTTGATAACCTGAGTTTCAAGATCTTGCTCAAGAGGAACACAGAAATTAATTGTGCCAGGTTTTTTTTACATCACCTTTGTTATAGAAGTTTTGCAATTATGAACTACTCTCTAGCCAAGGATATGCCTCCAAGACACTATCAGGCTTCTTGCAGACACCTTCTGAGTTAAGAGATTGCCAAAAAGGTTTTTAACTCCCCATTACAGAAGTTCTAACTCAGCCTTTTTTTTTGTTTTCAGATCCTCAAAATAATCAGTGATATTCCCAAAGTACACCAATGCATTAGGTATAAACTCATCTTTACATACTGCCACTGCAATTTTCCTGGACTCTGCAATTTCTTACTGAAAGACACTGACACTTCTGCTTTTGAGAGATTTATTCCAACTGCCCCTTTGCATAGTGAGAGACCCATGACAACCCTCTGCCACTACAGAGAACTGAACTTAAAACTGATTATGACTTTGATTAAATACTAGGTAAACCATCATGAGTAAATCAAATAACAAATATTTGAGAAAAGCTCTTTCCTTGTCAGTAAGACTTATGTGGAAAAGATGCTCAGAAAAGAGTGAGAGGGGAAAAAAAAAACAAACCACAACACAACCCACAAACCAATTTCACCTTGCCAGCAGATAAATAAGAGAAGGCATTATAAACTAATTGCATAGTTAAGAGCAAATCAGGAATCTTTTCCAGAACAAGGGTAAACTTACTAAAAATCACTACTTGGAAATTCAAGCGTTATAAAAGGAAGTGCCATATAGCTGAAGATGTATTTGATTATCCAAAGAAGTTGCTGAAGCTACCCTTACATCAAGGTTCAAAAAGGAGCTAGCCATTTACATGCATTTAAAGGTACAATAATGATTTCAAAAATTAAAATAAACATAATGGTTACAGACTTAGGATAACCTCTAATAATTGTAAATTAGGATAAAAACAACTGAAGAAAGCAGATTATACCATGTCTGTCTAACATAGGTTCTTACATTTGCCTTAGAAATATCTAGAATAGCTCAGAGCACTGAGTACTGGCCTGGACAGAGCCAACAGTCGTTAGTTACCATTATGCACACTAAGGAAATTTGACAGTCTGCAGGCAAAACATCTCAAAACCTCACAATAATGTAAAGATGACTCACAGCACATATTAAAAATACAACCAGTGTTATTTTGCATATAAGAAAACTGAATCTTGGACAAGTGACACAGCAACACCCAGCAGATCAGACCTGCAGACATAGCCACCTTGCAGCCTTAAACTGTGATCAAAGTAAGATATTTTCTCTTGCAAAGTCACCCATCAAGAAGAAACCAGCTGAGAAGAAACCAGCTTGGTCAGAGGCTCAGAAGAGAGTTATTTTAGATTCACAAAACCTATGCATTTTTTGGAAAGAGAGGTGAGCGCTACTAATTACATTTCCTAAAGAGGTGCTGGATATTGAATTCCTGCTACTCCATCACAGGGTTACTGTCAGCATTGTAAACCAGCATCGTGGCTCAGCAAACTACTCACCCCTCAGTGAAAAAATTTCAGGAATTGGGGAGGGGGAAATAAAAAATAATAATTAAAAAAAAATCCCAGGCTCCGTACAGTGTAGATTAGAACCAGCCATGGATTAGAAACTTGCGTGGACTCTTATCATGCCCTTACTTAGCTACCTGAAGACAATGACTTGGCTTGCAAGATATTTAGTTTTCACTTACATCTTCTTTACCTTCAGTTATGTCTGAAGGTCCTAAATGTTTGTGGGGAAAAAACCTCTTTTGTCATGCCATGACCATATTTCACCAAAGAGATCTTGGTTTTAGGGAAGATATAAAAGGAACTGAAGTTTCCTCCAGGTGCCATGAAATGACACCTGCTCTCCCGCAAATACCTTAAGTACCTTCTTCTGCACTGACAGCAACCCAGTGTAGATGCAAGGCCATGTGCCTGGGAGAAAAAAAAAGTGAAAGGACGTAGTACTTACCACAAGGACAGCACTCAACCGATCACTTTGGACCTGCTGCACTTGGATGCAAGGTCCTAGCACCTGTAACCTTGAGCTGCTGGGAATGTTCCCAGCATCATCATTTGGGATGCTGCTGTTACTAGGCCCAAGACCTACAGATGCCCTGTACAAGTAGGTGTGAGTCAGTTTACCCACACCAGTGACCTCCAGCATGTCTGGTGGGAGGTGGGAGCTGGGAAGCATGTGCACACTATAGCAATACTTTTCATACTCATCAGCTGGGCAGCAGCAGCCGCTGCAGCAGCAAGTCCGGCAGCGGCACAGCTGCACAACGGCAAGAAAGAGGAGGAATGCCACAAAGATGCAGGAGACACAAGCAAGGGAAATGATCAAGTAGATGTTTGTAGCATTGAGCAGTGGTGGTGGCTCCCCACTGTCATCGAAGTCTGGCAGTGCCTGAGGCAGGGTGTCAGCCAGCAGGATGCCCACCGTCACAGTAGAGGAGAGTGGTGGATCCCCATGGTCCCGCACCACCACAACCACCTTGTGCTTGAGGAAGTCAGTGGAACGCATGGAGCGCGTGGTGCGCAGCTCACCAGAGTGTGGTGCCAAGTGGAACAAGGTGGAGTCGGAGGATTGGGCGAGGTGATAGGAGAGCCAGGCATTCTGCGCGTTGTCCTCATCATCCGCCACTACTTTGGTCACCAGGTAGTCCTCATCAGCCAGGCGGGGCACAACTTCCACAGCTACTGAGCCATTCTGGCTGATAGGGTACAGGATGGCTGGGGCATTGTCATTCTGGTCTGAGATGTAAACATTCACAGTTATGGCAGCACTCAAGACTGGTGACCCATTGTCCTTGGCTTCCACTTGGAAATAGAAGCTCCTAAGCTGCTCAAAGTCAAAGGCACGTTTTGCATAGATGCTCCCATTAGCCAAGCTCACAGATAAAAGGCTGGCCAGGGCACTGCCTGCAACTGTGGAATTCCTGAGCATGTAAGAGACCCGTCCGTTCTCCCCCACATCCGGGTCAGATGCTGAGACTTGGTAGAGAAAAGCACCAAGTGGATTGTTCTCTTCCACAAACACATCAAACGTGTCAGCACTGAAGACAGGGGCGTTATCATTCACATCAGAAATCTGCACCCAAAGGGTCTTCTGAGTGGTGATAGGTGGAGAGCCCAAGTCTGTGGCAGTAATGGTGATGTTGTACCCACTGATCAGCTCTCGGTCCAGAAGCTCACTGGTGACAAGGCTGTAGTAGTTTTCAAGGGAAGGCTTTAACTGGAAGGGAAGGTTATCAGGGATCTGGCAGGTTACTTTCCCATTCTCCCCAGGGTCCTTATCCATAATACTCAGCAGAGCTATCACTGTGCCAGGAACAGCATCCTCAGGAATGGGACTGGAAAGGGATGTAATTGTTATCTCTGGGCCATGATTGTTCACATCAGTGATTTCCACCAGCAGTTCAGCTGTGCTGGACATGCCAAACGCCCCGTTATCCCTTGCCTCAATAAGCATCTCAAGGAGAGGTCTCTGAACAGCTAAAACGCCATTGACTGTCACCTCCCCAGTGTGCGGGTGAATTAAGAACATTCGCTGTACATCAGCAGAAGTAGTATTGCTAAATGAATACCTGACCTCTCCATTTGGACCTTCATCCAAGTCTGTGGCATGCACTTGCACTACCAAAGTGCCACTGGGGGAGTTTTCCAAGATACTCGCCCTGTAGACCGAGTGCTCAAATTCTGGTGCATTGTCATTGGTATCCAGCACAGTCACAATGACTGGGACATCACCGGACTTTGGAGGATCCCCACCATCTTTGGCTGTAAGGACAAGTCTGTGAGTGGCTTGCTGCTCCCTGTCTAAGGCTTTCTTCAGCACCAATTCAGGATATTTACTCCCATCCCCGCGTGTCTGCATTTCCAAACTGAAATGTTCATCAGGGCTCAGAGTGTAATTCTGGACACTGTTGGTACCTTCATCAAGATCTTGGGCGCTGGGGAGTGTAAACCGTGCCCCAGGTGACAGGAACTCAGGCACGTTTATATGATATTCACCTAAGGGAAAGCTGGGGGAATTGTCATTTATGTCCAAGACTTTAAATTCCATCCTATAAAGCTCTAGAGGGTTTTCTAAGACGAGTTCATAATTCAGAAGACAGACAGACTTTAATTCACAAAGCTGCTCTCTGTCTATGGGCTCATTAACAGACAAAGCCCCCGTGCTTGCATTTATATTAAAATATTGCTTACTTGAACCGGTGATCATACGAAATTTCCGAGCTGAAAGTGTAGCTGCATCTATTCCTAAATCCTTCGCTATGTTCCCAACAGACGCTCCACGCTCTGTTTCCTCAGCGATGGAATACACTACTTGCCCGTTCGCGGTGCAGCAAATAAGGCAGAAGACCATTAAATAGACCCGCATTCTTCCTCCCCTGGCTCAGCTCCCCGCTGACCGGCTCAGCAGGGACATAATCCAGAAATTCAGCAAACCCCCGAAGTTCCCAGCACGAAGCAAACGGGCACCGGAGCGCACCGGCGGCAAGGCGAGAAGTTCGCTGCAGGCGCGAGAGCTG